AACCTGGTACCCCCCCCCCCCCCCCCCCCCTCTGAAGTGGTGACCTACGCAGGGACCGTCCTGTCATCTTCTTCGATTCGCAGTCAAGGGGATAAACAACAAACACCAAGAATACCATCACCAGAAGCACAAAGTTCACCTTCAACAACCTCTTCCCAAGAATTCAGCAACAAAACCTGGTCCCCCCTCCACTCTGAAGTAAACCCACTCTCACTAATCTACCTATACGGGTATATCAATTATCGACGCCCTTTCCGTTGTCATCTTCAGTCTTTGAAATGTTTCCTTAAACAATCTACAGTATACACTCTTTCCTGACATTCATAGCAAAATATTTTCAATTCGTGCATCACAGTTCTTAAAATCATAGCTATATTCTGAATTACGGATCCAGCCCAGCGAAAAGGCTTGCTTTAATATGTTTGCTTTTATTGATTCCTTGCTCTTTTCTTAACTCTATGCTGTAACTCCCAATAGGATACCTTTATCCTCATTGTTGGTAAATTATAGGGGGTTTGATAGACTACCTAGTCAATCGTATTGTATTGGGTTGTTTTTGTCGATGGTTGTCTTTATTCCTACAATGTAGGCTGCCCTCTAAGGGGGCAGGAATCACGGCTGCACGTGCTTCCTCACGTGCCATATCCCTCACGTGTCCGGCCCATAACGGTCGCCCACGACGGTGCCAGTAGTCCGACACTCTTCATACTCAGAAGAAAAGTGAATATTCCTACATTGACGCTATTATTATGCGCTGCCTATAATCACCGCTAGAAGCATGAACTCATTAGTATTTAACATCCGCTTTGTAGCGATATGATCAACGACGATATGAAACTCTACAAGACGTGATAAATGCGTTGATTTATTTTCAAATTGGTCCCCGGTGCATGCAATTGATACGTAGATGCTGTATACTGTTTACTATATTTCTTGAAGCTAACATCCATCTTATTCCTTGGAGATTCACTCCTGAAGGTTTTTTCTTAATCGCCAGTATAGGGACTACGTGTTTGTATTCTACTACTGTCCAAAGTGCTACCAACCCTTTGAACGATGATGCCGGCTGCGACTCGGCAGAATTTATTGCTGTCAACAACTCAGCTGCTGCGATTTCAAGATACCTTCGATTTGCAACTAACATATTCCTAATAGATCAGCGAAATGATTCGATCGAGAGGTCATTCTTTCATTCTACACTCTTACAGCAGTACTAAGAAGGCGAAAATGGATAGTATTCACGAACTTCACTTCAACAGCAAGAAGAGGTTCAAGAGCAAGAGCAAGGGCTTTCTACGCTTGGATGTGATCACTCCATTCTTGACTCAGTGCTCTTCACAATCTTTAGCTTGCGCTCGATCGAGTGTCTGTCTACCCTGTACTTAATAAAGACGAAAAAAAAGGAGAAATGTTCAGGGCTTATAGCGACGCAAACTAAGTGAATTTTTTCACAAACTTCAATAAGGGTACAAGTCGATGAAATACGCACTATGTGAATGTCATCTGGCTATTGATGGGGCTCTTGCATCATCGATTCTATCTCAATCATTAGTCTCATATTGCTGAGACCCGAAATATATATAATAAAACGATTCTCATTTCTTCATCGAAGCTTTACCGCACATAAGACTCTACGAGAAGCAACGGGTATGCCAGCGGGAAGTCGGACGGCGCGGCATCAAAATGGAGGATCAACGGGGATGATCTAGGTAGGTACATCGGCTTGGCAAAGCCCACGGCCATCGATCGCCCTTTATTTGGAATTCATCTGGTCCTGCCATCATGTCTTCCTTCCGCTGTCTATCCGAGATTCTCATAAATCTTTCGATTGACTAGTAACTACTGTTGTCGGACCACTAAGGCCATTGTGGCCATGATAGAAGTAGAAGGCACGAGCCTTAGCACGTGAGGGTGGCACGTGCACCCGTGGTCCTCTTAAGGGACCACCATAGCTAGTGTAATACGAATTAGATATCAACAACAACACAACCAAACTGAATAGACTAGTCTATCATCACCACACCTATGATACCAACAACTGTCATGAAACATTATGTTGTCAAAGCTACCTACATCACCTTACCGCATTGTATCAGTATAAGGAAAAAGTAAATAAAATTCGTACTAGAATATAAACCCCCCTCCTAGATATAGAAAAGATTCATGATATTATTAATCCCTTAAACCTATCCAAAGTTTCAATTTTGGTCCCCAGTCTCATTCACCTTAAGACAGAGATCTCTCCAGACCCGCCGCATCTTGTATTTGGATTGAAAGCCCATTGCCATAAAGAAAGAAAAAAGTCTTTATTCTGGAAAGAGGGCTGGGGATTATATACACATCCACCTTCACCTCCACCAAAAAGAAAGACATACAGAAGTGAATTTAAACTTAGCTCTGCCAAGATCAAGATCTTATAAATTGAATGATTTGCACATATCGACGACACGCTTGTTTCTCGCTTAAACATACGATAACTACTGTAAACACCCTGCCTGCTATGCTTCCTGCCAGAGCCATTAGGGCCACACTAGACAGGGCCAACCTCTATAAGAGGGCACATCCCCAGTAGCTAGAACTAAAAACTAGCTTTCTACCCTTCTTTTTTGCACTTCTCTTGTGAGGACCATGAGGTCCAGCCTCTTTGTTGAGCTTCTATACGACAGCTCTTTTTTAGGTGTCTACACTACTGTCATAAAAACATTCTGTTGTCAAAGCTACTTATACCATCTTATTGCATTGTATTAGTATATGAAAAGTAAAAAAACTCGTACTAGAATATGAAACCATTATCCAAGAACTAGAAAAGGTACAGAATATAATTGCCCCTACCTATTCCAAGTATCGATTCTAATCTGTTTCCTAGCCTCACCTACCCCAACAATAGATCCCTCCAGACTCTTCCGCATCTTGTATTTGGACTGAAAGCCCGTGCCATAAAGAAAAAAAAAAGTCTTCATCCTCGAAAGAGAGCTGGGGTTTATGTACGAAACACTTCTTTCCACCTCCACCAGAAAGAGAGAGACAGGTGAATTATCAACTTGTTCTGCCAGCCAGGATCCTTTTTTTTTTCTTTTCAATTTTCTCACCAAATTTTATAGGAAATGAGTGAATTTTTGGTTACAAAAAGAGAAACAGGGTTTCCATTCTGCCTTTTCTTTCCCTTCGCCTTTATCAACCAACTCCAATCACTCGTTACGTTTTTCGAAGTCTCGAACCCCGAGCTTATAGTAAGTAAAGTATAGTAGTATAGCTACTCCGCACAGAACCGCCGGACAGGAGGACACCCCACTCAGATCCCGAGAATCACCAGATCCCGCGGTCGAAGGACATACCTGTTGTCGATTCGGTATAGGCGCACTCTTGAACTGCACTACGAAAACAATATCCCGCAAATTTTCCTCTCGATCAATTGATTGCCCATTCCCCCTTCCAAAGGCCCTCCCCCCTCCACTCCACTCTATTTCACACACAAACTCAACACAAACCCAAACTCAAAGAACATCCATCCATCCCTAAGCCCACAAAGCACGTGCTAATGAAATGATGCAAAACAGCTTCGTCTTGTACTGTACTACTAGAGATCCATCGTTCTATTGATGCGCAGTTTGCATCCTATCCTAGATCTACTTGGTGTTATGCATGCACATTGTATATATACAGTACTAGCGGGGGTTGCCTTGCGCGCGGTTTCTGGAAAAAGTTCTTAGGGATCCGTCCCAACATCCAAGCGATACTTCCTTCTCCTTGCCTCACAACATAACATGACAAAACATAACAGAACAGAAACAGAACAGATAGATCCCGCTGCTCTTTATATCAAGTACATATCTACAGTGAATTTAGAGATATAGAGTGTGATTGATTCATTTAACTGATTTACTGATTGATTGATGGATAGATTTGATGGATGAGGTGAGGTGCAAATTCCGAGTTGTGATTATGACCTGCCGATTCCATCTGTGAGGCGGGACGAGGAGATGAGGATACGTCGGCGACGGTGAGAAGAAGGGAGGAAAGGTGAGAAAGGTGAGAGGAGTAGAAGGGAGGGAGAGTTGAGGTGAGTGGAGGAGAGGGGAGGAGAGGGGAGGAGAGGGGAGGGAGAAGAAAAGCAAAGGGACGAGAGAAAAGAGGAGGGCAGGGGAGCAAAAGATGAAAGGAGAGGAGAAGAAAAGAGAAGAGCTGGAGAGGACAAGAACAAGAAGTGAAAAAAGCAATAATGGTAGCTATTGCTGACGCTTCGATAAAACAGTAACCTCAAGAGCCATGTGGAAAAGACTTGAATTTAATACTTGTATACGTGCGCGTTTGGTATACCGCACAACCCCCCCGTTCCGCTCCATCTCAGACCATCTTATGAATCACCATTTCAGCCAGCACGCACAGGAGCGAAGCAAAATAACAGAATTTACTGGCCGCCTCTGCCCGCACCCCGTCCAGCTCCCGCGCCACCAGCACCGGCACCGCCACCACCCATCATGTTGCGGGCCCTGTCCTCAGTCAGTTCTCGTACACGACCACCAGAATCCAGCCAAGGAGGGGCCAAGGAACAGAAAACTTACATCTCAGCAATACTGGGATCCTGCATCAGACTCGCCAGATCCGGCATTCCCCCTCCTCCACCCTCTCTGCCGGAACCAGCCCCCCCACCTGGCGCACCACCAGCTCCAAACTGGCTGGCCATATCCCTAAGCCGAGGATTGCTCATCAGGTTTTCCATCATACCCGGGTTGCTCATCAGGTTCTGCGCCATACTCGCAAACATCGGATTACTCATGATGGAACTCAGATCCGGCATTCCGCCCCCAGCGCCGCCCGCACCACCACCACCAAACATACCCGCCAGCGCAGACAGGTCTGGCATGCCACCGGCTCCACCAGCACCACCACCTGGCATGCCGCGCTCAGCCACCTCAGCGTCGGAGTCGTCATCACCACCCGCCTCGAGCTCAGCAACGCGCTTCTTAGCCGTCTCGAACCCCTTCTTCATGGCGTCGCTGCCGCCTGAACCCTCCTCCTCGATGCCCCGCCCGTAGGCCTCCATGCTGCCCTTCGCATCGCCGAGCGCGAACCGTGCCAGCCCCAGTCTGCTCCAGGCCTTTGTATATTTCGGGTCTGCGGCCACGGCAGCTTCGGCGTCCGCGCGGGCGCTCTCGTGGTCCTTAGAGGCAGAGTACGCGGCTGCGCGGTTGGAGAGGAAGATGGGGTTGCCGGGGATCAGGGCGAGCGCTTTTCCGTACAACTCGATGGCCTTATGGTAGTCCTTCTTGGCCATTGCTGCGTTGCCCTGGCTCTTGAGCGACTCTGCCTCTTTCTTTTGCGCTTCCGTGGGCTCCTTCGACGCGGCAGCGGGGCTAGCGGTTGAGGTGGCAGCAGCAGCGGCAGCCGGCGCCTTGGACTTCAGCTTCTCATACACGCTGTAGATTTGCAGCAGCGTCTGCGAATCTTTGGGCGTAGCGTCTGTAGGGTCGACCTTGAAAGACTCGGCGATACATGACTGGGCTACCTCGACGGACTCGCGGTCTTCGTCTGTCAGGGTGCCGTCAGTGAGAGAGGTGTTTAGGAAGTCGATGATGGAGAGCGCGAGGCGCTGTTTGGTAGTTGCCATGATAATCTCAGGCTTGAGGGCGGGGATGATTTGGTTGTGGTTGTGAGCGTGGAAATGGTGGGGTGGGATATCGGGAAAAAGTGGAATCAGGAAATCATGGAAGGTGCTCGCAACAAAGTCGGTAGTCGGGATGATATCAGCGTCTAGCTAGTGGCGGCAGTTTTTCATTTAACCGTGCGCTAATGAGCAAGCGTTCGGCTAATCTTCGGCTCCCTTAAGCGGGCGTTTATTCTAGGGAAAGGATGAACATCTTCGAGTGCGCATCACTGACGTTTAAAGACCACCACCGACTTTCAAAAAAATCGATTTTCACGGAATTTTCCTTCATATCCTTAAAAAGGAAATCTAATTGGACCTCTTTAGTGAACAAGATCTACAGCTTTTTCACAGGCAAGAGCATGATAATAAGAGCCGGGTGAAGAAATGATGACCATCAATGATTAACTACCTGTCGGATAACAACATATCCATAATATCCTCCAGAGAGAATTGCCTCAAAACTACAACCCACAGCCCTTGACCAACTATGCCTACCTTTGATACATTTAACAATGCTGCCTCTTCTCCCTTATTCGTACATCACAGGCTGACAAGTCCATATCCCATTACCCCCACCACCCCCACCCCCCCCCCCCACGTTTGTACGCACCATGCGAATCGAGAACAGATATTCGAACATAAGAGGTAGGTATGAATGCAGCCAACAATGATGCGGTTGGTTACAGGTGAGGTTTCGTGAGAGCAGCTCCCAAGTCAGAGCGTCCCGAAAAAAAGTGGTGCAAGGGCAACAATAGAGCGCAGGAAAATATGCGCTATGAAAAGGCAGAGTCGCTCAAATAGCCGATTTTCCTTCAAACACAGGCATAACAAAGGAGACCTTGGAAGCCCTAGCACCGGCAACAGCGCCAGCAGCCGGAGAAGGAAGAGGTGGAGCGGGATGAGAATGACCGGCATCGTCATTCGAAGTTCCAGAAGAAGCTCCGTTCGATCCACTTGCAGAGGCAACAGATACACTGCGATTCTTCAGTCTCCAGTGTCGGTTGCGTCGTGCACGGGGTCTTCGGATGGCTTGCTGGCCAGGTGGATCACTTGGAGCGGAGACTCGACGACGTTGCTGTCCATCGTTAGAATCAAGCAGGACCCGGGATCGGAGGCCATACCATTGCCGCAGTTTGCTGCAACAAGGGCTGCCCTTCCCCCGAACCGGTCAAGTCCGAATCCTGCTGACCATCAAGGGTATGGCTCAGGCGAGTGGTCGACTGGGAGCCGGCCGGCTCGCTCTTCGTATGTTGCCTACGATTGGTGCGAGCACGCTTTGGAAGTGGAGCTTCGACCGTCTCGACCTCTTCGACATAGTTGTAGGTGCTATCTAGGTGGGAATCTTCGGCGGTTGAGTCGTTTCCATCTGTGGGCAGGTCAGCATGGAGCAGCCAATCGAATCGGTCGAGGAATATACCCATGCCACCATGTCTCGCAGCTCTCTTTCCAGCCTTCCTCGTCAAACTGGAAACCTTCTTCTCCTCCTTCGTGGCCACCTTCTCTTCCCTTTTCGCCCCCTTCCCTAGCTTCTTCACATCCATTCCCTGTGACTTCTGTGACTTGGCGGCTTCCTTGATGCCGGCTTTGGAAATGGGAGTTGGTGGCAGGGGCTTGCTATGAATTGGGAAAAACTCGGGTGCATCAGGCTTTAACGTGGAGCTCTTTGACTGGTTAGACAACATCATATATGATCAAGAGAAAGAGCACGCAAGCACAACCACTGCGTTTGCCATGCATATCACTTCCACATTGTGGCGGTTCGATGAGGCAGTGATTCCAGAGCAGAAGGGATAAAAATCAAAGCGTAAATTCTATAGCAGACTTGCTATTCAATTCTGCTTTGAGAGTTCCACGTTCGGAGATGGCCGAAAAGGCTGATCAAGCACTCACCTCACGCTTGCGCCCGTCCTCGGCCCGCTTTCCGGTATCTGATTTCCTCCCATCAGCTGAATCCTTAGGGTTGTCAGTATCTAATTTCTTCCCATCAGCTGACTCCTTCGGATTGTCGTTTTCACGCGTATCATTGCCATGGTGCGTTTTCTTCAAGGCCTTGGCCAGCTCAACCTTCCTTACACTTGGGGTGAGGTCGTTGATGATGGCGTTCTCGTACTTCTTTGGACTTCGAGATCTGGTACGCTCGTTTATAGGCTTCACGAAGATTTGCTTTGACCAGAGATCATGGTATTTCCCCTGGGATTGGATGAGTTCCTCATGAGAGCCCTGTTCCACGATTTTACCGTTCATGACAACCAAGATAAGATCAGCTTTCATGATCGTCGACAAACGATGGCTACTAGAAATTTAGCACAAGACAAGTTCAAGAGGGGTCTGACGCTGCCTACGCGACGATAAAAGTGGTTCGGCCATGGCACAGAGTCTTGAAGCCTTCCTGAATCAATTGCTCGGTCTCGGTATCGACTGCACTGGTCGCTTCGTCGAGCAAGATTATTTCAGGCTGTTTGAGGATGGCTCGAGCAATAGCCACCCGTTGCTTCTCGCCTCCAGAGAGTTTGCTAGGAGGGACATCAGCCGTGACTCCTGGGGATGGAATGAGAGAGCTTACACGCCACGATCGCCGACTTTGGAGTTGTAGCCATCTGGAAATTTCAAGATCTTGTCATGAACAGCAGCTGCTTTGCAGGCCTCGTGCACCTCTTGATCGGTTGCGGAAAGTCTTGCGTAGCGGATGTTGTTCATGATGGAATCATTGAATAGCATTGGGTCTTGGGGCACCACGCCGATCTTTCGTCGAAGACTGTGACACAGAATTAGCCGGGATCAGTATCAGCTGCTCGGTGCTAGTCATCATACCTGTCAAGAGTGACCTGGCGAATGTCTTGGTCGTCAATCAAAATGGATCCAGATTTGACATCGTAAAATCGATCAATCAGCTTGAGGATAGTCGACTTCCCTCCACCAGTCTCCCCGACCAAAGCCACCGTTTTACCAGAAGCCACCACGAAGCTGACGTCGGTCAAGGTTGGCTTGCGCTCATCGTAGGCAAATGAAACATTTTCAAACTTGATCACACCCTTTCCAAGCTCCAGGGGCTTAGCATCTGGCACATCAACAATTGTCGGCTCAGTCTGAAATAGCTCCAAAAGTCGCTCAGACTCCATCAGACTGCGTGAGATCTGCTTGTACATATTTCCGAAGAACGACAATGGGCCTAACAAATGTTAGCCTCCGACATCACGTGAGATCTGCCACAACCCACTAATTAGCTGGCCCCAGTAGATGATCAACGTGGTAAATTTTCCAACGGATTGATCCTGGTAAGCGACTTGGTAGACGCCAAGCAACAGAGCTCCCAGTAAGCCAATTACCAGGATAGCGGATTGGGCGGCACTAATGGTCTGAGACGTCATGGCATAATTTCGCATGGACTTCATGTGATCCTTGACAGCTGCGGAAGTCAGCTTGGAATCCGTGGCTCCAGATGGGGTGGTATCCTACCATCAGAATAACGACGTTGCTCATAAGGTATCATATTGAAGAGCTATGATGATGTTAGCTAGAGTTGATCATGGGTAGGGCAGATGGACCTACACTCGCAGTATTCCAGCCATCCAATGACTGTTGTCCGACACTCCACTCCTTTCGGACAATCGTGATGTAGTCGCGCCGACACTCCGCTTTCCGGGAGTACATCTTGGTAGTGACATAGAGATACGATATCACAGTTGAGACCATGATAAGGCCCATGTAGGGACCGAACAAGGCCCAGAGGTAGGCAAAGGCGACTGCAAGGTCAATGAACATCGGGACGACCTGGAAGCAGACAATTTCTAGCAGTTCAGTGACCGATCTACCTCCGTGAATAGCTTGCGTAAGATCCGAACTGGACTTGCTATCATGGAAATCCGAGGATAGACTCATCAAATGAGCATGTGAGGCAGTACTCAAAGCATCGTAGGAATACTGTTCTAGCGGCAACCAGAGCCAGTATCTGAGCGAGCCGATGCATGCCTCACCACTGATGAACCGGAGCAGAGCGTAGATGGTAACCGGAAGCCAGATCCGGGAAGTGTGGTCTGTAATCGTTAGTGGGAAATTATTCCGGTGCGCGACCAGTAATATTACCTCCGCCTGAAAAGTTAGTCAAGCTATCAATCATGATACCCATTTGGTTTGGAACGAGCACGTTGAGGGCATTGGTCGCCAAGAGGCAGCCACCCACGAGAACAGCTCTGAGCTGCATACGTTTGTCATGGTAAGGCCAAAGATAGGGGAAGAAGATCTGCCTGCGGTTAGCCTTATGTAACCAACCACCGTGACAATTTTTGATAAGCCAACCGTAAAGCCCTTGGCGTATGTGAACCAGTTCCCATCCTTCTCCAAGCGCTTGTCAATTTTCATCTGTGCCTCTCGTTCACGCTCAAAATATGAATCTTCGCTTGTATCGCTGCGGTTGTCGGCGGTATCTGAGTCTTGGGATTCGGCCTCCTCGTTCGTGCCGTACCCGTTTCCGCGCAGAGTAGCTCCGCTGGCCGGATTCTTTCCCTTCTTATCCAACAAAGACTGGCGCTCAACATCGCTATCCTCGTAACGCTTCTTGTCATTTCGTAGCTCAAAGTACGTCGCTGGCAGGATCATAAAGCCGCAAATTCTTGAGATTTGATTGACCAGAATGACGAAACCAAAGAATTCGAAGGGAGGGTTAAAGAGGTTTGGGGCAACAACGAGGAATAGCTCCACGGTAAGACCGATGAACCAAGTGCCGTAGTAGGGGTACCAGACGGGGAATTTGCTGTCGGTCAGGGCGAGACATTGGACACCAAAGGCAATAGTTGATGCCATGACATAGATCTGTGCAGTAGTGCTTTAGTCAGCCTGCTGCTATACTACTCAGCCACCTTCCCAACGGTACCATAACCTACCACCTGATGCTGAACAGGGTATTTGCCATTGATGAAGATCTGCAGAGCGAGAACGAAGGCTTCCAGAAGCTGTACACCATTTCTGTCAGTTTTATGTCCAGACCGTAGTCTGACTTGCAGAGGGTCTGACTTGCAGAGGGTCTTACGTAGCTGAGCGTGACAGCGGATACCAAGGCAAGCAAGACATCGCGGCAAACACGTTGATCTCGGGCTCGAAGCTTTCTTGTCTGGAGTGTGCAGACGGTGGCGGAGAGGGCGGCGAGGAAGTAAAAGGTGACCAGAGCCGGATAGGCGTAGTGGATAGCCGTGATGACGGTCTGCAGCTGTTGACTGTCAGCATTGGGCCGGAGTACAGAAGTCGCCTGCCTCGAAAGAGAAGGGGAGATCTTACCCAATCCGGAATTCCTGGTTCCATCATCGTCCACATCTTTGCTGTGGTGGTTGGGGCTCAAGATGCCAGACCATCAGCTGCGAGGGAGAAGTCGGAATAGCTGCCAGCGTAGAAGTGTCAGAAGTGGTGGAGGGGAAGAAGGGAAAGGAACCGAGGGAGGAAGATAGATGCTGGTCGTGATGGGTGGAGAGCTGTGGTGGGAGAGGAGGAAGGTGAGGTGGGCTGGAGTGAAGTGAAGTGAAATGAAGTGAAGTGAGATGTAGTTGTAAAGCGAGGTCAGGTGACTAGAAGATGATGGAGGTGGAAGGAATGAACGGGAAAGTCTATAAAGGGAAATGGACCAAGAACAAGCGAGCGGGCGGGTCGACCAAGCAGGTCACATGAGATGGCTCTTCAAGCTAGGTAGGGAGCGATTCACTTGAGGAGGCATCGCAAACAAAGGAAATTCTCAACCTCTCAGCCTCATCACCAACCAACGAACCAACGAACGAAGGGAACCAACAAAATTAACGAAATAAACGAAACCAACAACGAAACCAACGGAATCAATGAGCCAAAGCACACAGCGGATCCGACGCCAACCCTTTTCCCAACGGCTGATCACCGACTCCCAAACGTGGTCAGACGGGGGAGAGACAACAACAAGAACAATAATAAAACCAGTTCAACCAGCAAGATAGAAGAAGGGAAGGCATCGGGAAGAAAGAGTAACAGATAAAGATTAGGTACCTGGAAAGAATGATTCGGTGGGTGAGTGAGTGAGTGAGCGGGTGAGTGAGTACTCCGGATCCTCTGAAACGCGATGACTGATCAGTTAGTTAATGGGGTCGACGAGCTGGACCTTCGCTCTCCTCTCTATTGTATGCCCGAGACCAGATGCGATGCTGCAAGTACCACAGTCGGCTTGGGCTGTCAGCTGCCTAAGATGATGATATCCCTCTGGATCTGTTGTGTCGTGTTGCACAGGCAGGCTCTGTCGTATTTTGGTGGGACAGCTCTCATGCTCATGCTCAAGCTCAGCATTAGCATCACGAAGCTGAAGAAGGATCGAGCGTGAAGGAAGGGTAGGTGGAAGTTCCAGAGAGAAGAGAGGAGAGAGAGAGAGAGAGAGAGAGAGACGCCAAAAGGTAGACATGGGAGGGAGGAGCTATGTAAGTGTGTTTATATCCCTATATGTATGTAGGTGTACGTGTAGGTGTATGTAATATGTATATGTATTGCCATGTGATGAGAATCATACCCTACCTACTACCTACCTACACTGACCTGACCTTAGCCTAACGTTAACGGCCCTGCAGTAAGACAGATTGATAGATTAATCGATGGCTGGGCAGAGTGCAAAGAAGAGAAAGTGGAGTTCTAGAAGGAAGACATCGACAGCCACAGGCCCAAAAGACTAATGTTGACGTTGAGATCGATGTCATTGTATCGGTGTCGGTAACGGTAACGGTAACGGTAGCGGTGTCGGTGTCGGTGTGTCGGTGTCGGTGCGTCGGTGTCGGTATCGATGCCAAGCTTTCTCGGTGCCAAGCTGAGCTAAACCGATCAAGGCCTAAGGCCCAAGCCCGACTTTCCAATCTTTTCTTTCGCTTCTCTTCTCGTTCAACCTTCATTTCTCCTTCATACTCATTTTTACTCAACTCATCACTCTCATCCCATCCTATCTATCTATCTTATCCTATCTCATCACATCACATCCCATTCTATCCTTCTATCATCTCCATCCTCTCCCTCCTATCCCTATCCAGATCCATATCCACATCCATATCCATATCCAAATCCATATCAATATCCATATCCATATCCATGACCAGAGACCAGACCAGATCTCGGCTGCGGTGCGATGCCCTGCCCTGCCCTGCCCTGCGGTGCTCTGCTCTGCTCTTCTCCTCCATCCATTTCCATCGCGATGCATGAATGCATGCATGCATGCATCCTGACGTGAGTAAGGGAGTACCACCACCGTTGGTTTTGGTGTTCCGTTCCTGCAGCTCCATGATACATACATATATTCCTGGAGCCGGACTTCTCTCCGACTGGACTCCGCTTCGGCACCTGCCTGTGGTGCCGCGAGAAAAACATGGAGAAACCATTCCAAACGTGGCCGTCGGTCAGATTCAGCCATTCCCGCATGGCACCGCGATACGGCATGGCAGAGCCAGCTGCGTCCAGACTACTATGGTGGCGAGGGCCGGCATGTATACGGACGATACAGCCCGTCAAGATGCATAACCCCCCGATCCCAGCCATGGATGGAACAGCATCGTATACTCTTTCCTCACCTAGTATCGTCATTGTTTTCGTCGTCATCGTTGGTCGTCGTCGTAGTCGTCATCCTCGTCGTTGCCGCTAATGGTGGACCGGAAACCACTGCCGCAGCTGCCGACAGCGTCTCTGTACCCACCCCCACCCAGCCATCTAGCTAAACCGGTGCAGATCACACCTCACATTGCACAGGCTGACCAGCCATCGCCGCGGTAAAGTGCTCCGTCTCGGTCTCGGTCTTGGTCTCCTCTTTGGCGGGCGTGCCTCCTCCAATTGCACCGGTCGCCGTGCCCAACATCTATCTGCACATGGAACGAATTAGCGCACACCTCTGCATGATCTGACTATTGACAACGTATATGCTTGTCGCCTATTTTAATAGGTAAAAATAAATCTGTCTGCCTACAACACCTGTGTCACCAAGATAGGCATCACTCATGGTACTTACCGACATGGCGTGTGGCGTACTCGGTACGGGCCTGTTTTCCACCAGCGTGCATGCTATTATATTAGCTTTGCTCGTTTAGGTAGTATCCACGTGTTCTACCGCGACTGTTTATTCTTTGCTGCTTTTTCTTTGATTGGTTGATTGGCAATAGTGTTTTCTATAAAGGGTCTCAACAAAGCTTTTGCCTTGTGCACCTGGATTTATTGCTGTGGCAAAACACGCTACAATTCGAGCTCATACCATATCCAGTCTCCTATGTTAGCCTTGGTGCCGGCTCCAACAGCCGCTGGGGTATATGAACTGTCCATTGGTGATAGAATTGTCCAATTGAATTGAGTGTCTTCGAAACTGCGCTTATAGTCCGTAACAGATTCACCAGAGCTCACTTACTACGCCGCCAGTAGACAGCGTGAAGCAGAATTACTTCTTGTCTTGTCCCGGTGCTATATTAAAGATCTGGACTATCAAGCCGAACTCATCGTTCACTCAGAGGGATAGGCTCTTTACCAACTCAGCTCGAGTCTCACCACCTCCCCCATAAATAAAACTGCTCGGCATGATAATCCAGCCCTAGCTTCGTCGATACACGCAGCTCCCGACCCAACACATTCAGTCTAGCCATTTGCCTCGATAACTACAATTAGGGCCTGGAAATATTTATTCGTGAGCCCAGATTCCTCCTCGCTTACAGAAGTAGAGAGCCTGGATGCGCCATCTCATGTTATCAGCACGCTGAGGCACAGCAGAAAACACAATTTCAGACTACCGCATACCTCCCTCCATCTCCCTTCTTTGTAGTGCATTGGAAGAGTCTTCAAATTTTAGGGAGATCGCCATATCTAACACTTAACATCACCTCTCATTCTGCCTCCTCCGCATGGTGGTTCGCGGCTTAGGATAGATACATGTGGAGAAGTACGAATCCAGATCCTAAACAAAAGAAATACTTGACAACCACAATCTGGCCGCTCGGGTGGATATTCACAGTTTCAAGAGATCTGTAATGCATCAGCCGATTAACGACCTCGCAGCTACCCACCACTTAGTCCATTGAATCAATCTCCAATAGAGGGTATACGAATCTACGCCATGAAGATTTTCACTTGCCGGGAATGTCATATCCTCGAATGGATTTCACGTACGTTCAATGCCCAAGATAAGGTAGACTTTTCCCGGGTACCATCTCAGCTCGCTTACTGACAAAGAGTAGGCAGCTTGGATTTCCCTTGAGCTGTTTGATTCTTCGGGTCGCCGAGACATCTGCGTATGGAAAGAGAAATCTTTTGCGCGTACAACTATGAGCCTGATACAGTATCCGCCCACTGGAGACGACTCTCATCCAAGATTATTATCCTCACTCGTAAACGACATTCATACAATTGCCATAGTGCCGAATCGGAGTATTCGGCTCGGCCAAGTAAGCATATCCATCATCTGTACAGCGAATCACTATACCTCCATCGGGAAGACAATTATCAGACAGTTTTCTTTAATTTTGGGCCGCTACTCGGCATAGCTTCAGATGCGCATCTAGAATTGAGCGCCGCACCAGAAAGAGGGAGCTGCTATCTACAAGCCATTATCCTGCTCACAATGCATCAAAAGCGCCCTTAATATTGCTCGCAAAGTCAGTCCCAAAGGCAGGCCCCTGCGGCTTCCGCGAGTCCGGGTGGACGATTGGCACAGGTCGACGTGTTCGACCTCCCGCACCCAGACCCGTGCCGGCATCTTGGGAGAACGAACCAGGAGCCGGGTGGTTGGATTGGGCACCGGAACCAAAGCTGAGGAATTGGGTGTAGTTGGGTCCTGCGGAACCAGCTTGGCTGACCGGGCCTCCGCCAGCGCTAATGAGCAACTGATTATAGTCGGTTTCTCGCTGGACCAGTTGCTGCTGTTGGTGCTGCATGCCGTAGCTCGCACCGCTGCCCAAGATACTGGGGTAGTGGCCTCGGTCGTCCTGAGTTTGGAAGTCTTGGTTTGGACCTTGGCCTCGGCCACCACCACCGAGCGTGTTGGCATAGCGGCTGCTGCTACCTTGCCAGTCAACAGGTTGCCAATTCTGACCAGCCTGTTGGAGTTGACGGCGGCTGGCCGCGGTTGGGGTCATCATGTGCGGTGTTTGGTGGCCAGCCATGGAGCGGCTCGAATAGCCGGGTTGGTTGCTGGAATGGTTGCTGAAATGGCGGCTGCCAATGGTCAGGTTTCCGTAAGGCGTGTTCTGGTCGGAGTATGGCTGGTTGTTGCCCGCATCCATCGAAGTCCAAGCGAAGTCGCCGTGCTGGGACGCAGCATAGAAACTCGATTGTTGGTGCTGATCGTGGCCGCCCGTGCCCGAGCCACCCATCATCATTGCGTTACCGCCCATCGTCAACTGGCCGTAGCTGGGGTTGGTTCTGCTGTAGACGCTGGTACCGCCGCCATATGCGGAAGGGGCGTTGTAGCGGCCTCCACTCATCATGCTTCCGCTCATGTTGCCGCCCATGTTGCCACCCATGTCGCCACCCATGTTGCCGCCGCCCATGTTGCCGCCCATGTTGCCGCCACCCATGTTGCCACCCATGTTGCCGCCCATGTTGCCACCCATGTTGCCGCCCATGTTGCCACCCAT